CCCCCGGGAAATTTTGAAATTTAGACGATTGGAATTGCTATTCTCAGCCATTTTCCAGTCAGTATTTGGACCTAAAGTACAATCGAACCTATGACTATTTTTACCATGTTTATGTTAACCGTTCTTTAACTCAAAATCTCAACTGCCTCAATCAGATAGTCTCTCCTATCTATAATCTTCCTTTGAATTTGGCGTAACCCTTATCTTCTGCTGAAGACGAGAAAACCTTGGCAGCTTTCCCCTGTCACTCTTTTCCTTCCATAATTTGTTGATAATACAGCTTCATATTCTTTTACTGGTGACCCACTAATAAAAATATGAAGCAGACGGTCGACGATCTCTTTCCTTTTTCCTTAAGCGTGTTTTTAGGCGTTTTAGGGCACTGCTCACTCAGCTGAGAGTGACGGACTCAGCAATGACGGACTCGACGTGGACGTTTTAGCATATATAAGAAAGCCTGGGTTTCACGAACCGCCGACATCGCGCGTGAGAAAGGAAAACATATTTACATGTGAAACTCTGGAAATGCGTCTTCACTTCGACTCAGACATTTAAAACAATCACTGCATTCTCAGTTCCGAAATTCGCTGTCGGTCTATCTTGCCACTGGTGTCGCTTTCTCTATTTCGCTGGAGTAGTCTGTCGTTCGTCGCCAATTCATAGCTCTCATGTCGCCGTTTCAAGGCCATGTCGCTTGTCGGAATTTACCCCTAACAGGGTCTCAAGTTTTAGATGGATAAAAGAACAATTCTCTAGAGAATATCACGTGGTTTGTAACGGGAAAACAACCACCCAAGCTAAAAACGTCTATTGTTATTTGCCACTATCAAGAGATTCTGCCTTCTCAAGTCTGATGCGATTTGCTTCTTGCAGGTCTATTTATTTATTTCGTTGCTACTGTTGGTCAACAACCTATTACAGATTTACAGCAGGCAAGTTGAATATGATTTTGTTGTTTAAAAGCCAAGCAGTTAAGCGGCTGTTAAAACAGCCGTTTAACTCGGGTGTGTGGATCTTAATGGAGCTCAGTCATGGTATTTTGAGTTATTTTGGCCGCGTACAAAATTACCCTTAAATTGAAGGAAACCTGAAAATAGCAGTTTACTACGACGGAGAAACACCAAAGAGATAACAATAAACCATAGAGGATCAAGGATGGTTAGGATGGAGAAGATTGACACGAATTACAAACGACGCACTTGAAAAAATAGGCTAAACTTTTCAAACTGCGTAAACTGTGATGAAGCTCCTTCAAGACTTGCTAGTCCATCACAGCGTATCCATGTAAGTTTGGAAAACCAATATGTAATACATGTTGTTTTTCCTTATGTGTAGGTTTTGAGCTATAAGCCAGCGGAGGACACATTGGACCAAGTTGGAAGTTTTGTTGAGAAGATTTCGGCATGCTTACAGACGGTATGTCAAATTAACAAATTGACGTCAGTTTTTTATGCGTCTGTCCTCTTATTGATGATAAATTGCGTCGTAACATTGTTAAAGTGGCTGTGGAACCACGAGCCGCAGGGGAGTGGTTCCGCACTAAACTTTGGCAATGTTATGACGAAATTTACCATCAATAAGAGAACAGATGCATAAAAAACTGACGTCAATTTATTTTCTACAATAACAAGATCCCAAAATGGTCAAATGCCGGGAATGAATCAGGGGAAAATAAGTCGTAACCTTGCCATAAACAAGTGAATTGTATTCAAAATGACGCGAACATTGTCAATAGCTTTTCTCGCTTTTTGCTTGGCTACTGAAAAAAGTCCATAAAATCTCATTGGTCAAAAAGTTGACAATTTGACAGCTAAAAGTTAAACTTAAAAACTTGCATAAATTAAAATTTTATCCGTCTGTACTCTTATTGATAATAAAAATGAGCCGATCAGCGCGCGAGAAATTAGACAGTTATTTTAAAAAATCCAATATGCTAAGCGCCATCTTTTTACCGAGGCGTATACTTAGCTATGACAAGTCACAGGCCAGACCTTGATCTTTAGCTACTGTGTTTTATGCTGCCCTCTAGTAACAAACAAATGACCAAAGATTTTGAACCTTGTTAGATACGTACTGTGAGCCTTGCAGATACGCTCTTCGACGAATTAAAGGAGTAAGATTGTAGAGGTAGAAATTTGTTTCGTCCCCAATAATTGGTTTTTATATTATTTAGGAACCCACAGATCGTCCCACCTTTCAAGACCTTAGTGACCAAGTCTCCGAGAAAGTTGGATCGTCGACGCCAAGTTGTTCTTCGCATTCATTCGAAGGTGGGGCTACACTATGCTTGTAATTCATGTCTTATGCATTTACATTACAAGGTGCACAGAAAAAAATCATGTTTTAAGAATTTCTAAACGCATCCTTAGCATGTCTCATACCTCCTTTCACCATCAGGTTCCCTAAACGCGCAGACACTGACTGAAGAAGTTCCAACTGTAAAATCCACATCCAGGAAAAACAAAGAGAGTACGGTGGAATGTTTCGTGGACGACAACGGAACAATGGCTTGGGACAACACAGATGTTGCATTATCTTATAGTCAAGATGAGCTCAGACAACGCCTTAAAAATGCAGAGTTGGAGGCGTTGAAAGCCAAGGCGTTACAAAAAAGAGCCGAAGCTGCAAAAGACGCAATCCTCAGTCAAGTTCAGGAAGCGGAGACTAAGTGTCTGAAGGAAGTGGAACTGATGACGAAGACGTTCCTGATGCGTTTGAACGAGGCGAACGATCGTGCAGCCGAGGCTGAACAGGCACGATATCTTGCAGAAGAAGTTAAACGACTCACAGAAGAGAAGTACACTCTTTACAAGTACGAAAGTGAGAAGAATATGCACGAGCTGAAATCAATGTTTGATGACGCCCTTCTCGAAAGGGATGAGCTCATTACAGCCTTGAAAACGGTTGGCAAGGACTTTGATGCACCAGAATTGATTTCTCCAAGACGCAGAGATTCCATCCACCAACTCGAAGAGAAGTACCAGCGGTACATATCTACCAGCGACCGTACTATACAGAGTCTGAAAACACAGTTAAACGGCGTTGTGAAGCACAGGGATCAACTAGCTATTGATCGTGAAGCAGCTAGAAATGAAATGAAAGATACCCGAGAGGCTTTGGAACAGGCTGTGAAGGAAAAGGAAGAATTCCAATTCAGGTTAGAGGAGGCACAGTTTGAGATCGAAAGGCTGGAAGAGATGATTTCAACAATGACCCAAAAACGTCAGCAAGCGGAACGCGAGAGAGACCAACTGCAAATGCTAACAGACATGTCGTTGATGAAACTCAGGCAGGCCGAATCGGAAGCGCCAAAGAAAAGAGTGTCCCTGTGTTCTTTTCCGACAAAGAATGACGAAAGGCCAACAGAAAATCGAGAGCCTAGTCTCAGGAGACTTTCTGAGCAGCTCTTGCACCTTATTGGTCCATCACCGATGGAAGTGCAATCCAAATCGGATGAAAACTATATGGAAGAAGGGTCTGAAAATGCAACATCTGATGATGGCGCCGTCTCATCTGATGGGCAGCTTGAACAGGAACATCCTTCTAAGTCGTCTCGAGAAGTGGCTCTAAGGAGGCCAGGCAAAACAGCTATGCCTTCAGTACCGCAGGTAAAGGAATTTAGAAGAGCCACGCCAACAAGACGACGTGAAAATTACAGCAACGAGAATATATGGTGGGACGCAGGCGACCCTTTGGCACCGCACAAGTTCGCCCATATCAACTACCACCAAACAAAAGACGACGAGAAGCAAAGCGAATATGCCCAATGGCACGACTCTCCGATCAAGAAACATGAACCTGAAACAAGCATACACCATGAAGAAGAAAGCAAAGAAAAAATTGCTCACTCCATCGAACAACACAGGAAAGATTCACTCAAGCAGTTCACAATTCCTACCCTACACATCGAAGAGGCAGATACCGATTTAGAAATGGATCATCAGCGCGGAGTTCCTGATATCGAAATATCAGAGTTTGACGAGAACGATCTGATAGCGGAAGAAGACGAAGAAGAAGAGGAAGTATTCCATGGATCTGAGAACAATCAAGATTCGCCAATGTTTATTATAGGAGACCAGGAGGGTCACACACGAATTGTGTACAGTTTTGACGACCTTCCAGAACTTTTACAGGGCATCCCTCAAACAAACCTGTAATGTTTCATTGTGGGACAACTTTGTGTTTGCATTTTATTCAGTGTTTTAAGTTAACGCTCTTTATTTCTGTCCCAACAGTACAGTGAACGATGTGATACGGTACTTCACCTACATTCAAAACTAATTTTCTCGCATCATTATTTTCCCGAAATCAAGCAAACACGATTTTAAAGAACCCGAAAATCAAAATTTCATGTAATAAGGCAGTTAATAACTCGTGAATATCAAAGCCAAGGTGTTAACTTTGTTTAAAGAACGTGCCATATGCCCCACCACACCTTCCTGGCAGATAATTAAAAAGCAATTTATGGGTACTAGGACTTGCGCGAACAGTCCAAACAAATAAGGGCAAGATTTCCTCACGGCTGAATCTGGAAAAGTCCAGTCTAAAACGTTTATTTCTTGCTTATCTTGGATCGCTAATTTTATACTGAGCTGTTGATATGAAGCTTTAACAATATCAGTAGGTCTATTTCGATTACTTAACTATCTGTTCCAAATACAAGACGTTGATGAAATGAGACAGTGAAGCCATTTAATCTAAAATAGTTTTTATTTTTAATATGATAGAATAATGCCATGCATTATCATAACTAGGCTTGAAAAAGGAAAAAAAACACACTTGAAATTTTCTCGTAGAAATATAATATCTTCCACGTCTCTAAACGACTCGCGTTTTTTAAAAAAATAAAAAAAATTGTTCAACACAAAATCAAGAGAGATTACTGACACATGCAATGATATTGCTATTAAATTACTTATGATTCGGAAAGGTCATTATGGCCTTGTTTACTACTTCTAAATGGTAACGCCCACTACACCGGAGCCGTTCCTTGTGTACACGTAGGACGCACGTTGCAGGGGCAGTACCCAAGTTGATGCCCGTGAAGCTCTCATTGGTTGATTTCCGGGTTGTAGCGGAGACAGTTGGCAAGAGCACTCTATACACTCTCTACACTTTATTATTTTCAAATTATATTTTACAAAAAAAGGGCATGCCCGCCACTAGCAAAGGCTAATCTAGGCGGGCCATGTCTTAATAGCCGAATACACACGTCTTGAAAATTGCGGTCATTTTGTCCTTGCTTCATGACACAGGAATTCAAACCAGCTGAATTTCATGCAACATGTTGTGGGGACAAATTTTTTTTCCCCATAACAGAACTTTTTTTCGTAGAAGAGGGTGTGTTCCATTGTCACTGCAACAAGTCCCACTTCATGTCCCCGCAAAATGACTCCACTACATCTCTGTGCAACATGTCCCCCTATGGCCAGATTACAATTGCAGATTTTTCTTTTCGTAGGTGTTAAAACTGCTGCAACAAGGCTGTTTGGCGTCATTATAATTAGAAGTATTTCTAGCAATTCGTCAGCCTGTTTGTACAGTATTATTTATGAAGATTATTAACTACCACTTAATAACCGAGAGTGAAGTCGTTACCGGAAAATCTCAAACTGAGGCCTCGCCGTATTGACCTCGCTATCGCTCGGTCAATACGGTAGGCCGAGGTTTGAGATTTTCCCGTAACGACCGAACGGTCGAGGTTACTAAGTTGTTTATTATATGGCTCATNTATTCCGTTAAAAACACACATTTCTTTACGGGAAAAATGATTGTCACAGCCTCAAAAAGGTATTTTAGTATCGTGATGCCACCTTGATGGGGGAGTTTTTCCGACTTTTGTGGCGAAGAGAGAAAGTGCTCTAAAATAGTCCAAACAAACGGTCTTTCGGTGGAAGAAAATACTAATGCTTCAGAACGCACTGCTCAGAATAACTCGATCTTCGCATTCGCCTTCGACAAGAAATCTTCACCTCCTTCACTCTGGGATTTTCGGATTAACTTTTCAAGCTTTTTGAACGTCTAAAACTTCCTACAGTTATCAGAAACACTGCTGCCGACAGAAACCGCCCGATTGTTTAAATCTGATGATCCTGGAAGCTGATTTACACTTGCTTGTGTTAAAATGAAGGAATCTATTTGATGAGAACTGGGATGGAGTTCAATATTTCGGTAATTGTTGTGACTAAGATGATAACTTATAAGTTTCTTCGTGGTGTTCTGCTCAGGATGCGTGACAGATCTGCCGATGGTGTTTTTCACTTAGCGAATTTAGCTTTACGCTTACTTAGACTCGGCAAACTTTAATTGTTTTTCACTAGTGCCCGCCAAGGTTACCGGCTGGTAAGTCAAAAACGACTTCTATACACGTTTTATGAAGGAAAAATCCCTAAACTTTTAGCGACTTGGAATTAAATTTACTTTCTCTGACTGTTTTTAATCGGCTTCCATCGTTTCAATGCGCTTGAATTTTCAGAGCCGGGCTCTTCCTAATTTGCATAATCCGTAATCGGCAAGTGGGCGTTACGGCTGCATACTGACCGTTCAGATCTCGCTCTTGGCCAATCAGAGCACGCGTTATATCGGCCACAAGCCAAAGCAATATAATAAGTTAAAGTAACGCGGGTTTTTGTATTACAAACGAGTTCACTACCACGATTTATATCGATTATAATAAATTTCTAAAGCCCAAAGGAACGATTACTTAAACCTAGGTGATTTCTCATTGAAGTAAGTTCCTTAATTGTCTCCACCCGTCCCCCTCTCCTTCCTTTCTCTCTTAGCCCAAGACATTAAAACAACACTAAGTTCTCCAGGAGCTATTAAAATACTAATAAGCTATTGAAATACTAATAACATCAATTGAAAAAATACAATACAAACTAGCTCGAAAAAATAAATAAATCGAACAAATAAAAGCGGTGCAAAAAATTATCGAAGTAAGGCCATTAACCTGGTTTAAAACAAAGGAATATTATGCTGGAAGTTTTTTTTACCAGAAACTCTCCAAATACTTTAAAGATACTCGAAAATGCTGTAAATTTCTCCCAAAGTCTAAAATATCATAAGTAACAGAATTCTCTAAAGGTTCTGGCGATTTTTTGCTTAGATTCGTACACCTTTCAATGAACCCGAACTCTGAAGTAATGCAGCTAACGATTGAGTTTTACCCTGCCGTCAATCATAATTACGACGACAATCCAATGGACCCTAAAAACCACCACCAACAACAAGGAAAAAATCAACCAAACAAACAAAATGGACATAACCTTTTGAATTTGTTTACAAAAACACTTTTGTTCCGTGAGACATTCGCTAAAATAATTGACAGCAGCGTAAACTGCAACCGTCGGTTGAGTTTGCACGCATCGGTACGGTGCGAAGTGCATTACGAACACGGCGGATGCGTGACAAACCATTATAGACTAACATAAAGCCAGCGGTTCAAAATCTATGCCGTTTTACATTAAGTAGCCTCTTCCAGGTGTTCAGTTAGTTGAGGCGCCGCGCGTAAATGGGCGAGTTCGCCATTTTTCGCGCTGCGCCCCAACTAACTGAACGCCTGGAAGAGGTTATAGATTAAGGAATCAACACAGTAATCAGTTTCCCTGTGCGGCAGTTCCAAAAACTCGACTTCCAGCGATTCTTACGAATTCACAAACTGCTCCACTTTCCGCATAAGCTGCTGGAACTCTCCATCAGGAATGGTGCCACGTTCTTCGGTTATCTTGATGTAAAGAAGCTTGGTAAAGACCAAAGATAGCTGACCTTCTGGAGGCCAGGAAATGTCCTCAAACAACAGAGGAATGACAGGCTTCTTTAAGCTATGAGCCAAGGTGGCCTCCCCCTGGCAAGCGTCTGATTGACAGTATTTTGCTGTTACGCAACAAACAAAGACCTAATCGAAGGATAAAATGGAGAAAAAAAAATATCGTTTTGCGTTCGAAAATTGTGCCAAACAAGAAAAGCCGAACAAATATGCGGGTGCATTATATGTCTTGTGCAATCACCTTGCCATCACGTTGCGACACAAAACGTAGTCGCAACCGATGAACAACAAGAAACAACCTTGACGATCAAAACCAGTTACTTCTAAGAGCAGCCACTAAGAGGCTCAGTGCAGGGCACAATCTTACGATCATTCCGTACCAAAGACGAAAGAAAGAAGCAGTGGAAATAGGAATTCACTTGGTCATCATCTAGCCTTGTACATCAGGGAACTATCTTTTCCGTTCACAATAGCTTTGTGCCGTCTCAAATTGTTTCTACTTTCCCCGATCTAGCAAATTTTCGAAGATTTTCTGTCTTGTTAATTACATAAGATAAACTATACCCTTTAACTATAAATGCATTGTTGGGGCGTACATTTAGGAAATTGCACTTTTTTTATAATGGACGAATTTGCATTGTCAGCTTCACGATCGAGTATACCACTAATTCCGTAATTAGCAATCCGGTATAACGCATCCGCTCTTTTGAAAACAAAAACTAAACAGCTTAAAAACAAACAAACAAACAAATAGTTTAACCTTGCACGCCCTTATTCCGGCATCTATTTTTGCAAAGAGAGCATCACCGCCACCCATCTGCCTGATGTCCATCCAACATTGAATTCCACTCTCTTCGATCTTGCTCTTCAGTCTTTTGACTGTATCTTGCAAATCCCTCTGGTAAGACAGGAAAACTGGGCAGCCCGACGTCGACACGTCAACGGCCTGAGAGGAAATGGGTGCAGTGTCTGCAACTAGAAAACAGAAAACAGATCAGGGTAGAAGCTTTGATTGGCATGACAAGTAATCTCTTTCAGGAGGAATGCAAATTAATTGCTTCTTCGTCAACTGTATTTTAATTAGCTAAATCACAATTATCCTCGTTGGTTAGCTTATTACCACGTGAGTCAATTGTTTTTCCTTTTTTTAAGCACTTTCAGTACTTTATTGGTTTCCTGCACTACTGGCAATTACAACAACTATCACAAATATCGCCTAACCTACTTTACATTGGTTTCAACAGTACTAAAGTTAACATTTCTCTCACGTATAACTTAACTAATTTCATGTAAGGTTTTGCGCTTTTGCGAGGGGCATTTTTTCGTAGCTAATGACTACAGCTATCTATTCTGTACTTAAATAAAACTTTATTAAAAAAAAAACAGAAAGGTAAATAGCTTGGTTATGCAACTTACTAGTGTATATGTAGTATTTCATGAATAGGATTGTGCAATTAAATTTCTTTAATATTTCTTCTTCGTATGGGCCAGATATGATACCAAATAGTTTCTCTTCAATTGTTGGAGCAAATTTTGAGTTGTTGGCAGCGTTAAACCAGTCAATTACGTTGTTTAGGAAATTCTCTACAAATCAACAGTTAAGAAAAGTGTGATCAATTGAATCTTTCTCACCACAGCAGAGAAATGCATCGTCCGCTTTAATACCATATCGATGAAGCTCCTTTTTTAGTAACTACAATCCTATGAATTAATTCAAAGTGGAATCCTTTCAATTTTGTCTCTAGGAGGTGAAAATTTTTTTCCAGGCATTCTCATCTAGTCTTATGCTGTTCCGAATCATTGGGCCAGTCTGGCTGACAGTGTGAATTTTCCGGCTAAGTAATTGTCATTGTGATCACCACCACCACCATCATCATCAAGTCTCTAGTTTCAGCATTACCAGTTGTATTTGTGTAGAGTCGTCTAACTGAAACAGAAACTTATTTCTTGTAAATAGTTCGTTTTCCAGTGGCTCTGTATTTCTTGCTTTGATTACTAAATATTTTGGGATTGCACTAGTAACTTGGTAAAATTGGAGAAAATTCGTATTGCAGTCATACTTCTTATTAAATTCGTGGAAAGAGAGTAGCTGACCGTTACTGTTCAGCAGGTCTCGGATGGACAAAATATCACTGTCCAACCATTCTTTCACAAAAACTGGTCTTCCTCCAAGGAAATTTCTCTGTTATCAAATATGACCATATCTCGCATACCGTCATTGTTTTTCTTTTGAAGTCTCACACAATCTTGAGGTATTTTTGGACATCAAACACAGAAAAAAGTTACCCAATATACTCACCTATTAAAGCTATTTAATCTGAAATCTTAAGGCCCGCTTGAAATGTTCTACTATTTACCTTGATATCCATCCCGGCAAACACCGCAGTACTTTACAGCGAGTGTCCATCGTTTCACCATAGGATGTTGTAATGCACGCGCCAAGCACTCGTAAGTCGCCGCCGACCCAAAAACTTCTGTCCACCGTTTCAACACACAATAACATCTTTCAGATAGGCGAGGGTTGTCTGCTTCAATATTCTCCAGCTCGTGCTCAGGAACTCCCAGCGTTCTACCAAGCATCTTCCATGAGGCACCCAGCTCAGAGGCAACAAGAAGAAGATCCTGGGTCGACGGTGTACCGGTTTTAGACGATGACGGTTGATTTCGAACTATGGAAGTTATAAGAGAAACAATCGCTACCACGAAGAACCGAAGATTTATTACGTTTTTTTGAAATAGCGAAACATAATACTTTCAATCAATCAATCAATCAATCAATCAATCAATCAATCAATCAATCAATCAATATATTTAACGTGGTCGGTACGCTTAGCTAAAAAGCTAGTTTACAGGTACGCCACGAAAAAAACAGAAAAAAGAAATTATAAGAGCCTTATGAAGGTAAATAAATTTAAATAAATGAGGAACTATCTAATATTAAAATATAAGAATTAACAATGTACTCACAAGTAAAATGTATAACAAGCTATGTTTACCTTCAGGAACCAAAGAGGTCACTTTCTGTTCTTCCGTCTAAGTTGAAGCAAAGCGAAAGGCAAATGAAAATTACAAACTAAGGTAAAACATCTTAATACATGTAAAACAGTTATGTACAAGACAACTGATGATTGTTAAGGTCAAAAGAAACAATTTCCCTCGAAATATTATATAGCGTACTGTTCCATAAAACCAGTTACTAAGAAATATCAAGAATTCTTCTGGAAATAAGGAGCTCAGTCCTAAGAAACCACAAGAAAGCCAAGATTATATCGTACTTAAAAATCTTTTACAAGTGTAATTTAAGAACTTTGAAAGGGTCTGTACCTCTCTTTTATGAACTTTGAACCATTTCTCCAATCCAGGAACCTCAACTGCTTCATCACAGAAGCTCTTTGTGCAAATGAGGTGTTCTCCAGGAATTACTCGGAGAAGATGTAGACAGTCCTCGTGAGCGCAAGAAGCCAACCTGTGTTTGTCGCATTCTTTACTTAGTTTAAAGCAACTGGCGCATGCAACGCACAGTTCATAACCGGGATTACGCAGCCACGAAAACTCGAGCGTCAAGCTCAGCAAGATGTCTTCGAGAAAGATTCGAACTTCGCATGCCATACTCGCTGCGGCAGCGGAAAGAACGGCTGAAGAAGAACTTTGCTTCAAGGTGATCTTGATAAATCTCTTTTTGCAGATAAGAATCAGATTGTGAATGGTCTGCTTTCCAATAAAAAGCCTCGCTCCATTGTGGTACAGGTTAGGAGCTTGTCGGGGACCGCGTTCGGAACACCAGCGTATGCATCTTGACAAAAGTTGTGGAAAGAGCCCGTGAGGGACAAAACCGTCCGGGAAGTGGAGATACAGCGGGCAAGGATCATACTTAGAAGGCTCCATCTCACACAGAACTGAGGGTGACGATCTAAGTTGGGCTGGCACAAAATATTTTTGCTCCTCCTGGCCAGCAGATGGTACAGAGGAAAATTTAGCGATTAATCCATAGAGCTCCATCATATCCAAAATGTCCTCCCTAGAAAGGCCTTTTTGGATGAAATCTGCAAAAACGTGATCGACCAGAGTCATCCTGAGAATACCATTTTTCTCGAGTTCCTGCCAGCATTCTGAGTACAGAGGATTCTAAATAAAATATGAAATAACGTAAGACTGTTTCCACTATGATACCTATCTGAGTGTTTCTCTGGGGTTAAAGTACACTGCAAAATATGACACATGTTGCTGTCATTAGGGAAATGACGAAAAATGTAGCGAGTAAGAGAGGGGGGAGGGGGAGGGGAAGGAAGGAAAGGAAAATACCTTCCTTGGAAATTGATGATCTATTCAAATATCTGAGAAGTCTAGCTCCAGACGTTTGTGACTTCGAGTGCAGGCTCGCCTCCAGAATCCCTCAGAACGCTTAGGCCTGCATATGTACCATGAAATGTTTCTCTTTAGGTCTAATCACTACGAAAAGGGGACATGAAATTAAATCAAATGAAAAGTCATGAATGTCCTCTTCCTACCACTTCGTCAAATGGTCGCACGGTTATGAGTTGCTTGAAAAGGTCAATCAGCCACTGAGCCTGCAGCACAACAGTATGGCCATGCTTTACTATCACTCCGAGATCGTGATAAAAATTCAACAACGTCGTCAGTTCTTCTATGTCGTCTATATGGCAAACTTGTCTCGTGACAGTCAGGAGGTTATCAAGATTCATGTGATAGGTTTCCTTTGCTACTAAAGCTTCGACGATTTTCTCGAAGGTAAACCACCTATGAAAAAACAAGCACACGTTTGCTATTGCCCCGTTCCTACGAGAAACTCAATTTGCTGGCTTGTGGAAGGTATTTATGGTGTACACCTCAAAGAAGATAAACTACTGACACGATAATGCCCCGGCATTGATCTTCATTGCAATGGAAAAATTAAGTTTTATCTCAGTCTCACAAGGATGTCAATTATTATAATTCTGCATTTAGCTTTGGGAAGATTGGTACCTAATAGATCCCATCTGACCATCTTTCCAAGTGAGAAACTATATGGCTATAACTGCTTTGTGGCGCAGTGGCGCAGGGGTCTAGTTACATACAGGCAATGGTGCACAACAATTCTTTTTACGTATATTGCCTTGGCATCTTTCCAAGCTTATTCTTGTCCTAGCATGCCAAGAAAATAAGGGACCGATTGATTTTCACGCCTGTTTCAGCTACTGGTACTCACCAGCGCTCTGACAGTTTAGGGATTACAGTAAGTATAGCTGCAGCCCTTCGAGAAAAAGTCATGCAGTAAAAATAAGACTTCAAAGGGAACTGAATTCTTAGACGGAAAGGTTGGTTTCCGCATAATCGTTACGATCGCTACATAGAAAGTTGAGTAATCCTTGAAACTACCAAGGCACTCTCCATTCCACACAAATTTGCGAGGTATACCCAAGTTTTCGAAAATTTCTGACCGGGAATTTCCATTGCATTTGATTTCGGTTGAATGGTCCGCATTCCAGAAACTTAACAATTTTAGGATTTTTGAAAAACTTTACCATTTGCTTTCGTCTCGAAAGTTCCGAACTTTTGATTGACTAGAACACACCACCAGCTTACATACAATCACCACGATCTCTACAGAATAAAAATATGCTAAAAAGACCTGGATCGAACAGCAGCGCACTGCATTCTGGTAAATGTTTGATCCCAACGATCGCTGCAAACTCTGGAGAGTTGTTTCCACGTGATCGCAACAATCACTTCGATCCTCGAGGAAGAAACTGAGCTCTATCTCGGCGATCTTCGCCACAACTATCGCTGAAGAGTTGTTTCGATATGATTGCAACGATCGGTGAACGTTTTTGCCCCAATCGTAGCAATCAGATGGAATTTAGTTATTAGCTCCCTCCAATCGAAGATCAGATTACCTGATACCATGAATGGTGAGCACCATACCTTATCGGTACCTCTTCACCCATGTACGGCTCCTGTTTCAACACCTCCATGATCCTCTTCTGCAGCGTTTGAACCCCATCATCACTCAGTGATCTTGTGTTGTCAACAGCAAAGAATGGCCTTATCACGTGCTTTTCATACTTCTTTCCCGAAATACTCTTTTGAATAAGCTTTTCCATTTTCTTGGCATCTTCGAACGGTCGATCGGCATTCGTTCCTACAATGAACACTGGAGGACGAAGGTAAGTCAGTTTTCCGTCCTGACTACTGCTAGTTCCATCTGCTGTTGGCCGAATGCTGTGCACAGAAGCCAACCACGCCAACAAACTCTCTAAATTTGTCTCACTGTTTGGATTTTCCAGGACAATATCATGAAAACCCTGTCTAACACACGGTTCTGCTGGAGCATTTAGATCTTTGCTAAGGTTATACACCAGGGTGTAGACTGCTCGCGGAGAAAGGAAAACAGAATGAGAAGCGTAGTAAAGGTGCTGACCGGCAAAATCCCACAAAGTTAAAATGACCTCCTTTGCTTTGATGTCTTCATCTAATTTCAAATGCTGCAAGTATTGCACAACTAGATCTGTGACTTTATCAGGTAAAACTGCAGCGGTATCAATATTTAATTTAATAGCTGGATCTGCTGGTTTTTTCACCTCAAGAACAGTGCCGCTGCCGCCCTCATCTGATGGCTTGTTCCCCTCATTGGTTTCTTGTCTACCAGCAGTCGGTAAATCATTTGGTTCCTTTGGAGTGCCAGCATCAACCTCATGCCCGACCTCCTGTAAAATTTCAAAAACAAAGTGAATATATAAGCTGCAGTGCACATAATTGACACAAGTACAGAATCTGTAATGTTGTGTTACCAAAACTAGAGGTCCTTGTAACTATAATTATATTTTGGTATTATTGATGCTGGTGCCTTAAATAAATGAGAATTATTTTTTGCCTCATAAGGATGACAGCAGGAGAAAAGCAGGCGGAAGCAGGTGGAGGGACCAAACAGCGCGCAGTTTTCACCAACAACTTATTTAAGCACATGCGTCCATACTTTGTGTTTTTCCTTTAAATTCCGCTGGGGAATTTTTTTTTTTTTACGGAGGACATGTGGCCATGGTAAACACATTTATGTAAGAACGATTTGCCAGATTTTCGATCTCCCTGGTTCTCTTGAATTCATGAGCGTTTCTGACGTTGAAAGAAAAAAAAAATATACAGAAAAAACCAAGACGAGGGCTGTTCGAAAATCGTAACACAATTCCTACGTGATGGCGTCATCACATGTTGTCGTGACTTCAATACCACTGGAGTGGGAAAGAATCCCTGTCCCAGACCCTGCTGCCTCGGGTCGTAAAAGCAAAAAAAATCGAATCTGAAAAGTGACCCTGAAAAGAAACCTATCACCTGCTCTAAGACAGCATTCATGTCATCGATGTTCCTCTGGTCTATTTCTGTTTCCGTTAAGTCTTTCGCGATTATCCTTGCTATGTCGTCAGCAAACTCCGACACATCAAGTTTCTTTTTCTCTGTGCGCTGCCAGTTCTTAACTTGGTCAACATCCACTTCAAACTTGGAAGGGTCAACTTCGACCCCCACGGTACTCTCTTCTTCAGGGTTGAAAGGGATGCCAAGAAGAGATTTCTTCAGGCTTGTCTTTCCTGCACGGTCCTGCCCAAGGAGCATAATGCGACCGCGGTACACCTGCACCCTGCCGTTCCGCATAGCGTTTTGAAAAGCAAGTTCGGCTCTTGGGCCTCGAGCACGAATCTCAGGTGGCATAACTGAATCTGAAACCAAACAATATATTTATTTCTGATCATGTCTATTACACAAGATGGCATAGTTTTAAGCATCTAGGGAGCAGACAACGTATTAACAATTTTATACCTACCATCGAAATTCGCATCCATTACTTCCACTACATGTTCGCTCTTAAAAAATCCAATTTTGCGGTCCTTTGTTTCTCCTAACCAGGAATTATTGTCATTCCTATAAGGTAACAAACCAGCATTTAACCATGCCTAATTCATCTTGCCGCAAGGCGAAGACGAAAGATTGCGTATAAACAACAGCAAAACGAGAGGCTTATTCACTTTGGATATTTTCTTGATAAACAACATTACTCAAAACAGCTGTTTTTTTTTTTCTTTGCTCGCGTCAAAAAGTCTGCTGAAGCATAACAAAACGAAATCCCGCATCAGTGAAAGCCATAATATAAAAGATCTTGAGGAGTAAGTTGCTACACTGGATTTGACACTGAATTCTCTTTTCTCCACTGAAAATTGAGGGTACAAAGAAACTGTACGCTCTCTCCAGTGGGGAAAAGTGGGGCTTAATGCAAACAAGGCGACGTGAAGCCAACCAAAATAAAAATGTCCTCTCTCTAAGCCAATCACCGTGCCTATAATGGTTGTAAAAATCCAATTTCCCTTTCATTCACGACAAAGCAACCTTCCTTTCTTTACTCGCTACCCCTCGTCCCCTCCATAAGTTACTACTCCAGAAGTTAACACGGAAAACATTGCCAGTTTTTTGTGCTTCTTCACAAGTGCTTTAAGGCAGTGACCCTTTCCTTGAATTTCAGAAACGCTGGATGATAAAGCTATTTTATACCAACCTGATTCTACCCTTAAATGGCTGAAAAATTATTTACCTTTCGACTCCGTGAATTCTCGAATAATTTACCCTTGGACTGCGAAAAGTGCGGTGCATTAACGATTAAATTCATGAAAGACGTCATTAATCATCAATTTAAACTAGAAGTGTTTTTCTGAATGTTTTGGATTTTTCTTTTTACATTTCTGGTTAATGTTACTATAGCGTGACGTATCTTTCTTATATTAGCTTTGATCTCTTAGTTTTTAATACGCTTTGTTTTGCCCGCAATTATGCTTTTTGATATACCTGTATTTATGCTAGACGGACTGACGGACGGACCGGCCGACCAACGGACCGAACGCCCGACCGACCGACCGACCGACTGATGGACGGACCAACTGACAAACGGACGGATGAACGAATGGACGGATGGACTAACTGATTGATTGATTGATTGATTGATTGATTGATTGATTGATTGATTGATTGATTGATTGATTGATTGATTGATTGATTGATTGATTGATTGATTGATTGATTGATTTCATGTACACTGTAACTGAATGATAAGAAACCACGGAGAGAAAAATACCTTAAACATAACGGACAATCATAATTTCTGAACAGTCATTCTTTCGTTACCAAGTACCTGTGGCGGTCCTTGGAGATCAGAAATATAATTTCGCCAGCTTCGCAGCTAAGAAAACCTTTTGACTCTGCTTTGAAGCTCCTTATGACTCTCACTTTCAAAGAGTGCCTCTGTAAGAAAAACAAATAGTACAATAACATAAAACTAAAATCAAATAAAGAATTGTCTCGCTATTTTGTTCTGATAACCTTGGATTTTAGAACGTACCTGTATTTGGTTTCTTCTGAAATAATGTAACTTGGTAAATTAATTGAAGGGCATTGCTCAGATTTTAGGGAGCTTAAGCAAACCCCGACGATGGCGGCAACGAGAACGTCACCAAACAAAAGGTTTAATGAGCAGAACAATAGCTGTGCAGGTGCGTTATAAATCTTTGCCATTTCTTTGCCTCTGCAAAACAAGAACGTGAAATGACCAAGTTCTGCGTATTCTGAAGAATGCAAACAACGACGATAAAGAGCACTAGTAAGATTCAAAATCGTTCCAAAATAGCCTGAAGTACGGAAGGTGGTAAAGAATATGGTTGAATAAAGAAATGTCTAGTTACCCCTTGAAGAAATAAAGGCAAATCACGCCATGAAAAAATCTGTTTATTATCACTATCATCATTTTTTTTTTAAAATAGGCGGTATTTGTATTCTCGGCATCGGACTAGAACTAGCTTGCAACTGCGGGAAATCTTTTGAAATGCAAGTGACATTACTTTCCCTCTCTTAATTGATATTCCCCCGCATTACTTTATCTTTATCTCTTTTAATTGATATTCCCCCGCATCCATCTGTCTGTCTGTCTGTCTGTCTGTCTATCTATCTATCTACTTGATAAACCTTTTGTTTGGTGACGATCTCGTTGCCGTTGCCATCGAGGGTTGTATAAGCCCCTTTATTGTTTACTTCGCACAACTTAAAAGAAACAACTGCAACATGACACATAATCACTTAATTCCACGTTTCAAATCTGCGACCAAAACCAACGATAAGTGAAAACGCGTAGAATGAACAAAGGCAGTTTAAAGGTCATGTAAGATCAATAGCAGCAAACTTAATCTTACCTGTGCCACAAGAGATCGCCTGATTTCCAAAAAGGAAGGTCTTTTGGTGGAATCCATTTGTAGACAACGACTGAATACGTCATAAAAATGGGAGGGGCAAATGTAGCCGTGTATCTCATGTTGTGATTTTGAAGGTTCCTTCAACAGAAAAAAAGCTGACAATAAATGGAACAGATGGAAACACAGGATGGACAGTCATTGATTTCAAAAGGCACAACACAAATTAAATTGTTTAAACCTTTTCTGTGTGATTTTGTGGGCGTTGTTAAAGCTCTTGTGCGCTAACAGTTACCGGAAAAAAAGTACCCAGCCGCCATTTTTTTTCCTGCGAAGGATTGGTAAAAATATCACTCAAGGCACCGTTACACATGGCAATTGCAACTTTTATACAATTAGCTGCCTTGCAATTTTGTACCGTCTCAAGTTAAGAGAAAATTACTTAGTGAAACACTTTCTGAATTAAAGAGGTCGTACAACGGTTTTTGCTGCAACAAGAGTTGCTGCCACAAGTAGAATGCAACAAAAACGTCATGAGAAATGTTCTGTTTCAGGAGATCAGTGTTGAAGTAAGCAACATTGCCTGACAACTGAAATTATTGTTGCTACAGGCCCTACAGGCTACTCATGGTCTCCCACAGTGGTCTTTGACGCCATTTTCTTACATAGAAGAACAGCTCGCCACGTTCCGATCCAGGATTCTTATCGGTTATATTAGGGACCTTTAGATTGGACTCCGAGTACGAGATCGAGTACGAGTACGATTATCGAACTTCAAAACACTGACGTTGCCAGAGCCCTCATTTCCATGTTGATTTTACGAAGAGAGGGTCGCTCATGGGATAAGGTGGGCAGGTGACATGATAAAGTAAAGCCTAAAAACTAGAATTTTAAAGTCGCAATTGAACACGATCTCCTACTCGTGCTCAAATCCAGAGTTCCCCATTTTCTGAGCATCGACTTCGGTAAGCTTGGACCAGTTTACGAATAAGTTATTACTTTGCAGGTGACACAGTCAAAATGTGACAAACTGTGTTAATTGGACTCTTAATAAATAACGAAGTAAGAAAAAAAGGAAAAAGGATTAATCAATAAACTCACCATAATTTTAATAATTTCGATACTTGTTTGAAAATAGCTGGAAAATGCACCAGAAAAAACCTTAGCAAAGTAGTAAACCACATCCTCCTGTACAAAATTGGGAACCTGGTTTGCCCTGCAAAAACAGTAAGGCAAATATAAAATGCCAATATAATTCATTGTAATTATGACTAACGTTCTGCGAGCGACTATCCAAGTGATCAAGATGGAGCTCTCTTGCGCGATTGGGATTGCCCGCTGTGTTCCACAAATAAACACATGTTCTCTATGCCATTTAATAAACCCTCAAGGCTCGTTCACAGTTAAGAGATAAGCACAAGTGTAAGCGCAATAATAAACACAAGAAAACGCTTGTGCACTGAGGTAAAATAAACACAAGCAAAAGCAGAAAAAACATTTTCTTTTTCATGTGCTTACGCGTATATTCATTTCAGTAGTGTGATGCTTATTTCACAAGTGGGAACTTTTTATTATTATTATTATTAGTAGTAGTAGTATTATTAATTGCTACTTACACTGCTTACAATACAATATTAATGTAGTCACTTACACTACTTACAAAAACTTATTACTTACGCCACTTACGATACTAACACTCTATGCAATACGAATACTCATGCTACTAACAATACTAATACTTACACTGCTTACAATACAACATAATTAGATTACTTGCGCTACTAACAATTCTAGCTCAGCAAGATCATACCAGTTTACTCCTGTCAGTAATTTAAATTCGGAATTGCAAATTAAAGAAAATATGCATGGTATATATGCGCCTTGTTTCTTTTCCTTTCATTTTTAAACTCGTGGATAAGCGTAGAAACGTGTTTGTTGCGGGGACTCCGATATGCAAATGTGTCAGTCAGTCAGTCACTCACTCACTCAGGTGTAGCCACTGCTCGTAATTAGTCGGCCCGAACGAGAGCGCCCGAATCCGACGCCATGTTGGAATAGTAACCGCGCCCGACGCCATATTGGAATAGTAACCGAGCCCGACGCCATATTGGAATAGTAACTGTGCAGTCAGTGCGAGCCTACTACTCAATGCGTACATCGTGCCAGCCCGAATATTGATGATTTTGTAGCTTTTACACGACCATTAATATTAGGTGTTTCGCTAAATTGAAGTGGAGTTGACTTCGAATGTTNAACCAGAAAAGCATAATGATTTTTTGGAATTGTTTTGCATTAGCAATGCATTATCTTTTTTAAACTCGTGGATACATGAAGTGTAGAAACGTGTTTGTTGCGGGGACTCCGATATGCAAATGTGTCACACACTCACTCACTCACTCACTCAGGTGTAGGCACTGCTCATAATTAGTCGGCCCGAACGAGAGTGCCCGAGTCCGACACCATGTTGGAATAGTAACCACACCCGACACCATATTGGAATAGTAACCAAGCCCGACGCCATATTGGAATAGCAACCATGCAGTCAGTGCGAGCCTACTACTCAATGCGTGCATCTTTCCAGCGTGAATATTGATGATTTTGTAGCTTTTACACGACCATTAATATTAGGTGTTTCGCTAAATTGAAGTGGAGTTGACTTCGAATGTTCGAATTAGTTCAAATAAATAAATAAATAAATAAACGAAACAGCTATTGAATACAAGACAAACATCGGCACCATTGTATAATATTGTAATTTTATTTTTATAATTTAGTAACGTCTAAACCTGAGGCCAGCCGAAATATTGTTTTAACTCTACGACGTAGTGTCAACCTTGCAGTAGTGACATATTATCGTTTTACTTTTCAAGTTTGTCTGATTAGATCTGCTGTGAGATCCAACGTTCAATCAAGCAGGA